CTTGCAACTCCCTTGTGCTTCTTGCGCTATGTTCTACGACTGTTTCATATCGTGAGCTCGGATTGTTCTTGTTCGAAGGGAGTTGTATGCATCTCACTCGAAGGACCAGAATTGTGCATCTCGTCCGATTCTCTCAAAGACTTGTATTGCTTTGATAAACGATGATTTGAGATGAGTGCATGATCGTTTCGACATAGGGAAAAGGAAACTTGGGTGTTTCCCCTGAAATATAGTGTGTTTCCAAGAGAAAACAGATTGCATTTATTTTCATATTTTTACAAATAATTGTAAGCAAATGAACGTATCGTCTTATACGCGAAATTGCCAGATGCTAAATGGAGATACGTAGATTAAATTTGAGAAAAATATTAAACGTTATTGCAAAAAAAAATAATCGATAATCTTTTAAGGAAAATTTGTCTAGAAGTAATCACCGATGACGATAGAATTAGTCGAACACGACGAGTCATCGGACCACTCGGGATCTCGTTTATTTACTGGTTGCTCCTTTATCGGAAGTAAAACATCGAGCTTTCTTCTTCTTCTTAGATCGAAGCCAGTTTCCTGGAGTATTCAGTCCTACCAAACTTTTCTCCAAACTTTTTGTCCCCCATTTCTATTATCAATTTGACGTATCTTGTTACCGTGTATTCACGACGTGAATATTTAACGCGAAAAGATTTCGCTTTGAAATCATCTTAATCATTCTCGTTTAATACAAGATCCGATGAATACACAAGAACTTACATAAATAATTCTTTTAAATAATATAAATATTTTTCTCAACTTTGATATTTAGACAAAGTAACTTAGCTCGTTAATGGTTAGTTTAATAAAAAGAGCGATAACGTTTGTTGAAAGTGAAGGAATCCTTGGAAAAGGCGATTGCGTTAAAGATGCTTTCACCGATAAAATAACGCGAGAAAAGGGTTCATAAGCTCTTAGAGAGAGAGAGAGAGAGAGAGAGCAAGTAGAAGGGGGTATCTTTCGGGCGAGAAGGAGGAATCTTCGGTTTATTGACAGTTCGGAGCAATCTGGATAGTTATTGGCGGCGACGACGACATCCACCAGCAGACGAAGGGTCGATTGTCCTGAGTAGTTTCCCACGGCCAATTGGATTACCTTCGATGGCTGGTTTTACTCTCTGAAGAACATCCCCGTCGTCGTTCTACCAGCTTGGCTTAAGCTTAGGTCATATAACTTCGCTTCGTATCTTTATGACTTATTTGTCAGTCCGCGTGGTCGCTCGATTAAATCTTTATCGAAAAGTTTTCGGAAAGCTTTTTCTTATCGTAAACGTCTTATCTTATAATCGCAGCGAGCAGCAGCAACGCAAAGGGAACACTCGTTCTTACGTTTCCGAGATAAAAGTCGCTTATTAAATGAATGCAATTGGTGTCCTTTTAAGGTTTTGCTTGCCACCCATTTTTTTGCTCCTGGTGCTTCCTCCCTCCTCCCTATTTTAAAGCCTTTTATCGCGAACAGATATTACATGCGTACCGCAAAACTACTTAAGGAGAGGAAGACGCCTCGTTAAGTCGTAAACGTTGCGGCGCTTAAACGGCTTTCAAAAACATTCCAGGTCCCGCGTAGAAACGGAATTGCTGAGACTTGCCGTGCATATTTAACGTTTCCTTCGAGCTTCTCGGATGCTTCTGGGAGTACTAGGAGAGAGAGAGAGAGAGAGAGAGAGAGAGAGAGAGAGAGAGAGAGAGAGAGAGAAAGAGAGATGACACCCTTTCCCTCGGCACTGGTATGCCATTTTCTCTCGTTCGTGTCGGCTTTGCAAAATGCATTTTTCGAAATCTTCCTCCTTCCTTTTCTTTTATTTTTTCTCTCTTTTTTATCTTAGACGCCGATGACCTCGTCACCGTTGGAAAAGTCGGATTTCTCCGCGCACTTTTGCTCGCATTCTCCCAAGTACCAATCATGATAATTCCGAGACGAACTAAATCTTATATATCTCTGAATATTATAAAATGTGCTATTCTCCATCGAAACTTATTTTAAGAATACTTACTCGATTTGTTCGACATTTCGAAGAAAATGGCACTAGACGTCGCAAAGAATGCTTCGTCTTTAAGCGTACGTGTGTGTATGTGTTTCTATGGAGACAGGACAAAGATAGGAAAGAAATAGCGGAAGGGATAGAGAGAGAAGTTCCGTAGTAATTTCTCGCAACGACATTAACTATCGTGGCTTACCTCTTACTCTCTGGAGCCTTATATCTAATTAGACGATACGTCGTTTCTCTTGAGAAATCGAGTGGTTCCCTTTATAAATTAGCTTCCAACGTGGTGGTGTACGTGTATATATTCGTTCGAAGCTTCGAAGTTAACCGTTTAAAATTCCAATAACAGTCGGTCCAATGTTTCCAGCAAAACGCAATAAAGGAAAGACTCTGTAGAGGCTTTAAATTTCCTATGATCGCTTTAGCCGATTTCGCGAGCGAAACACAAGGAGAGAAAGAGAGAGTGTGAGTTTGGATTATTATGAAATTTTACGAGCTATAGGCATCATAGGGTCGATGTAGGGCTCGCAATGTCGTAGGTAGGTGTCCCAGTAGCAAAGGGTACGACGCCACGTGCGCGAAATGCCACCTCCGCCATTTTCTTGGCGTCCAAACGGTGAACGTTCTTGCCGTTATGTTTCCGTATTAACACCTGCTGTATCTCGCTCCTGCTATTCTTTCTCCCTTATTTTTTATTTTTATCCATTTACGTAGACGAGCACACACGCGCACCGTACTTCCCAAAACGAATTTCATTGGGAATCATACGTTACGAGAACGCGAGGTATTTTCCTTTTACTCGAAAGGAGCGACGATGAGATTACGTTTGGAAATCCTCCAAGATCGAGAGCAGAAAACGTTTTTTGGAAATTAAACCACGGTACGTAAACGGTCGCCGTCGTTAAGAAACTCTTTGGCGTACTTTCAAAGGATTATTTATTCGTAATTCCTTTTGATCGTAGGTTTTGCTTTTCATGTTATATCTATTTTATGCATATCATATGTGTATATATAGATAGATTAGCTTTTCGAAAAAGGTCTCGCTTCATGCGACGCATTCGGTATTAGCAGGTTGCACGTGTTCAACGCTATTCGAACATATTTATACTAACTCCGTAGATCGGAAAATATATTTCCATTTTGCCTACAGGAAGAACATTCTTCGAAAGCCGCCTCCCATTGAAATCTGTCTCTAATGCCATCCAGATCTTCACCGTATGTTTCCTGAAATTTCAAGGGAGATCGTATGTTTGCGAGGGGAATATATAGCCGGGAGTATGAAAACCTTCTTTTCCTTCAAATTCTTCTCTATCTCTTTCTCTATCTTCACTATGGATTCGCGATCGTGTTACACGCGGATTTGGAATCCTTCCAAGAGGCCAACTTGGTGATTTTTCGACTCAAAATTGAAGCGAAAAGTGTATGCAAAGTAAACACAGATTTTCTTGAGATTCCTCTATCCAACGTTTTCGCTATTCAACGAGAAGAGTATCGCGAGACGATATAAAAAGGAGCATTCGCGTATACGTGCACGCGTATATATACGTAAATACGTACGTATGTGTTAGTCGTAGGCGTAAATGTATTTTTTCTAGTTCTTCTACTTTTTTTTTTTTCTCTTACCACGTACTTAATGTATCTTAAGATTTCTTTCTTAAGAAAAAATGTATGGAAATGACGTCGCTTATATGAAAATGATATGCGCATCTCTCCAGAGAATATATTTGCCGTTGAGTTTCGTCGACGAAAAAAAACCTAATCGAACGAAGAGAGAGAGAGAGAGAGAGAGAGAGAGAGAGAGAGAGAGAGAGAGAGAAAGAGAGAAAAGGCAAGATACGCAAAAGAAACCAATCGTGTCTAAGATTCTTTTCAACTTATAGAATGCAGATACACGTTTTGTATATTCAAGGGAAGAGACAAATACTGAAAGAAAGAGAGAGAGAGAGAGAAAGAGATCTTTCCTACTGGGAATATTCGAAGGAAATTGCCAGTACGGAAAGCGATCGAGGCAGAAGAACAAAAAAGAAAGAGAACATTCGCGTTGGTTATGCGCCAGGATTCTCATTCGATATTTGATGGGAAATGCTTATTTCAATGGAAAGACAATTGTCTATATTCTGTTTCAATTTCAACGTATCGAAAGAAAAACTTTTGACGCAAAGTACAAACGTGTCATTTTCCACGAAAGATTATTTGAAATGCATTAATAAATTAATCGAATATCGTGAATGATTTTAGAAAAAATTCCTCTTTTATTCGTCATTTTATTCGCCATTTTATTCGTTATTAAGACGCAATTTGAGTGATTCTTATTTGACGAAGGGGACAAGTCCCAGGAGACTCCTGGTAAGAAGTTAGTGGCTTATCGTCGAGAGAGAGAGAGAGAGAGAGAGTGCCTACGCAGAGTTGAACGTTGAACAAGTAGTCTTTACTTTAATCATTCCTTCTTCTTCCCCTTCGGCTCGATAAAAAGTTATGAAAAAAAATGGAAGGAAGATTCCGTGAAGTTGGGCGAGAAGGTTAGCCGGCACTCTCTTTCCCATGGGTGCTTTCAATCCGGAACGAACGGCTAAACTACCGCGCGAAACAAGAAAAGCAGCCGTCTAGAAAGTTAAGCTACGTCGTGTTGTAGTTCTCGTAAAGGAGCGGCCCGCATTTTGTAAGAGCCGCGTGCGTTCAGCAAATTGCGATCCGCCTTTACGCGTTCCAAGATGCCGGATGCATGCTCTTGGGAATCCTCTTAAAGATCCGTTTGAAAGGATCTTTTCGTTTCGTAAAGATTCAGAGAAACTTCAACAATCAAGCGTGCTCCCAATGTCTACGATCATTTTTAATATCTAATAGTACCTTTTCGATAGTTATGCAATAGGTCGTTACCTTGGGAGAGGCCCCACTTAAAAGGATGATCGAAGAAAATAGCGAAGTTTCGATCCCGCGTTATCGGGGATGAAATCAGGGCTCGAGTAACTTGCTCGGATTACTGTTACAGAAGCACCTCGGGGGACGTACCTGCTAATAGATGGGCGCAGACTCGATCCAGGAAACCAGTTCGTGCCTGTTAAGGAAGGCTCCGAACTGACGCTGGAATGCGCCGCCGAGGGTGGAAACCCGCCACCGGTTTTGGCATGGGGCATGATGCTATCCCAAGCCACTTTGGATGGTCCCGAACAACCACCGGATAACCTCACGGTCTTACCTTCGACGTCCGCCAGACACAGCGGAGCTCACCTGAAAGTCTATAGGGGTCACCACAACGCCACCATCGTTTGCGTGGCTCGTCACATCACTCTCACTTTGCCGATGAACGCTAGCATATTGCTAGACGTTCAGTGTGAGTATGCCATATATTAATATAGATTTTTTTTCTCGTCTTTCGTCCGTTTCTTTTTCCGATAAATTTTCCTCCGAATTCAACTCGTTAAAGTAAGATTGCCGTTAAGAAAAAAATATCTATTCACTCTGGCAAAACTTGAAACGTCGGGTTTCTCATCCAAAAGCTCTCGTAATTTGTTTCCTCCGAAAGCTTAGTTCGAGACGACATTGTCTTCTTTTCCGTAAAAAACGGACTGGGGGCCGGGTGGGAAGTAAAATTCGCACTTTTTGAAAGTAGACTTAATTTAAGAGACGACGGTCCTTTTGCAGACAGGAAGCGTAATAAGTCGTACCATTCCGTAGGACAGTAGTTAGGATTTCAGCGATATTAGATCTAGGAAAACGGTAGTCGTTCGCACCATGGAAACGAGCTAGATCATTCCTCAGGGAGAGAAAGAGAAGAAAGAGAAAGATATACGAGCGGCAGGACAATGAGAGTAAAACGGACCATCGAAATTGAAATATAAATTTAATTAAGTTAAATATTCGGCGAGGTTGTATTTCTCGCGTTAAACGACTATTCCGAAGAGTATTAACGCCGAGAGGATAAGAAGAAGAAGAAGAAGAAGAAGAAGAAGAAAGAAAAATAACGCGAGGGATGACACGTTGCAAGCTCTGCTAAAGAAATAAAAGTTTGCGGTTGTACGTGCGTGGTAACCATCATCGTGTATTATGCAACACCGCTATAGTTTAGATTTTCTCTTTCTGCCTTCTTTGCCAAGAGGAAGGCTAAAATCCGCGTCTGCGACGTTATACTTTCCTCTCCCCCCGCCTCTCGGTTGGCTCGACTTTCTGAAGGAGTCCAAACTCCAGGCAGTTTTCGCGGAAAAGTCCGAGGAACGAGGGATTAACTCTACCGCACGAACAAAAACGGTTGGGAGCGTGCAAGTACGTCTCCTCCTCCTCCACCTCTTTCTTTCTTTTTCTACTCTTCTCGCATGACTTTCTTCCTCTTTCTTCTTTTCTCCGCCTTAGAAGCAGGAGGAATCCACGACGTTCCTCCTTTACTTTCGCGTAGTCTCCGTGATTCTTCTCTTTCTGTGGGTTAAGAGAGAAACTTGTCTATAGCATGGCAGCCCAAGAATATGCATTAGTGGATAGCGCTTGCTTGCTTGCTTCCTTGCTTGCTTGCTTGCTTGCTTCCTTGCTTGCTTGTTTTCTTATTCTTTACACTTTTTTCTTCATTTTTCTTTCCCTTACTTCTTCTTCTTCTTCTTCATTCTTGGTCGTCTGTTTGCCAGATTCAAGAGTATCGCGTCAGAGCGTATAGTCCTTGTCCAAGATTATACGCTTACCAGGAGCTTTTCTACCATTTCCTTGTAGTACTCTTCCATTCTTCTTTCAGGATATACGAGTGCGAGCTTTGCAGTTGGTGCACAATGTAAAAGATTCCTCTACCGCGTCATGCGAAACTTTCTATACGTTCGATCTGGCTCGACCTACTTTTTCCATCCCAAGTCGGAGATAAGAGTGATGCGAAGTGCTTCCTCCTTTCTCTTTTTATTTTTCTTACGAACAATCTAACAATGCATTCCTAATGCAGTTTACAAATTCTCATTTTACTTTGATAATCGCGTAACAGGAGAATAAGCTCCTGAAAAAAGAATTAAATTGAAGTAGTTTTTTTGATTCCAGGCTCAATTCGTCAAACAACTTTAGCTACCTCGAAGATATTTCTTCGATAAGGTCAATATTTTGTCGAATATATTTAGTCGAATATATTAAGCACATCCGGTATACAGCGTCGCCTTGAATGATACGGGCACGAGCAACCAAACTCGTCGAGATCTCGGGAGATGCAAATTTTCTACACGAATAACTGGCAGCATCGAAAGATCCTCCACGTAGATATGCGGGTGTCGTCGAAAGAGAGTGACGAAGGATGAACTAGGGAAGAAAGTAAACTTTCTCTTCCTCTCTTGGTCGTTACGTTACTTCTTTCGGTCAATTTTTCTTCGTTTTTTTTCTTACTTTTTCTTTCTCGAACACATCCTTGTCGTTCTAAGAATGTAGACATAGAACAGGATTATCCATGCGACACCTGAACGAGCAAATTTTACACTCGACCGAATATTAAAGAGATCTCTTCGTAATCTTTGAAGATATTTTCTCGAGTACTACGCAAGTAATCCGACCTATATATTCCCTTACGTAACGAAAAAACAAGTATCTAGTAGGCTTTCTATGGTATACATCTTTGAACAAACGTATTTCATAGGTCCACCGTTAATTAATGGTAATCACTCTTTTGTTCGATTATAATTTGAGTTCTGCTTTGACGAACGGCGCAATTAGTTTCTATAGCAATTGTTAATATTAGCTTGTATAATTACAATATTATACGATACGTATAATAGACAATGAAATCCCGAAATTCGAATCATTCGTTTTTGATCGATCGTGTATAGACTAATTGTTAGAATTAGATTAAAGCTATGTGAAATATATATTCGAATGTAATAGATTTTCATCCATAATACGTAGCAATAAACATCTTGCAATTAACTTTATTTTCATTAATCGTAAATCGTTCGGTTTGACGTTACAGCTCTTCCTTGTAATTTAATCCCGTGTCGTTTTTTCCGCATATCGATCCACGCATATATTTAAGATATAAGTAAATAATCGTTTTTTCGGAATCAGTTCAAATCGTTCATTTATCGTAGTGTTTTAGCAATATTACGGTAATTCGATCAAAAATTTATATTCGAGAATCTATTCGGTGTTTCTTAAAATACGCGAAATATCAACAGGTTGTTGATTTCCTATCCGGTTCTCTGCTTATTTATTTAATCTTTGGTCAGGTATTATGGGCGATATTGGAGTCCCATATATGTTAATTAAAGAAAACCAATGATGGAATCGTTTTATGGTTTGCGCGTTAAAGAGAAATAGAAAAAAATAGTCTACAAAGTGACCATTTGAAGATAAATTATATTAGAAATACGTTTTTACGTTATGCACACGGCAAAGGGAATGAATCTTATTCCGTGATAGGATTCGGTTCCGAGACTACTTGAAATTGTATGCTCTTTGAAGTATTTTGCTTTTAATGAATGAAAAAGAAGGAAGGATCGTTCCGTAAAAAAGAATCTCCATCGAATAAGGTATTCGCGAGAAGGAATGTTCGAAATACGACAAAGGGAATCGTTGCTTTATCGACGAAGACGCTGATTCGCGGTTCGCTTGACGAGAAAAAAAGATTAAAGCGAGGAAAAGAAAACCCCTAGAAATTTGTATGTTTGCCTCACTTTGCGCCAAATAAATTATTCGAATAAATTATTACGTAGTATCGTCTTAGGTCTTATCAATTAAATAGAACATTCATTTGATATTCTACGCTGGTCTTTGAAATTTCATATTTTATAACTCGATAAGAAGAAAGAGAGAGCATTTTTCATTACGCTACGAATACTTTTATTTCCAAATATTGCGAATACACAGCGACGCACGTTCTCGTCGGATAGCATTTTCTCATCAAATAACGCGTTCATCCGAATCCTTCCTGATATCGTACTTTCATTCGAATTCCAGAAGATGCTTTGTATTATTCGATAATGAAGTCATTGCCACGGAAATTCAAGTTGGTTGCTTTTAATTAGACCAACATACCGTTACAATAAGTGTTATCTTCTTTCCCATATTTTTTCTTTACAATCCAACAATATTTTTCCTATTTTCTTTATCAATCATCCATCGATTGGGTGGGAAAAATCATCGTTGGAAATAAGTGGCTCTTGTGCGAAGTCGTTATACGTATACGAACGAAAAAGAGACAGGTACGAGGATGAAAGGAAACGCGCGTAAAAGTATATAAGTACCTACAAATCGATATTACATTCCTACTTATCTGGGTATCCGTCCAATTATTTAAATTGCGAATTCTGAAGTTTTCCAAGAGTAAAAGTACGTCGCGTAAAGTGGAACGAGAGCGTGGATACGTGTGTAATCGGAACTACGCTAGTTTCCATAGTATATTTTCAAGAGACGCGAAACACAATTAACATCGAATTTATCGCGAGGTAAAATTAGTAAAAGTTGTATGCTCGAGATGTAACACCTCGTAGGTAAGGTACTTGTAGCTAAATAGATGTTGCAACCACGCATACCTGTACGCATCGGGAGAATTAGTTGGAATTTGTTGGTTCAGTGAATTTATCATCTATCCACAGAACGGATGAAAGGCATACGTATAATTACGTTCCCCTTTGTAACGTACTCGAGGGCGCGAAAAGCCTCGGCACGAATGACACCGATATCTCTCTTTTTCAAAGGGACGAGAAATTCATCTGCCCTTCATTTTTTTAAATTTCCCCTTTTCAACGTGGCAGCTATCACCGAAAAAAAGCTACGTCTATCATATATACTCGGTCTTACCGTGTTCATCGTCTTTACGCGCATGCGTTGTGTTGGCAAGGTACTATACGTTGGCGTATAGGTAAGCAGTATGTATTTGATCTATTCGACGGGAATAGGGTTTCTCTTCGCATCTTTCGATCTCGCGGTTCATGAAAGCTTTCTACGGCTGTGGAGTCCTCCTTGTCGTCCTTGTCGCCTGTCTTCAACGAAACCCGACGAGTAAAAATTCAAATATCTATCGACTCTTACATATATATTTACTTATATACACACAGAGGGAAAAAGGTATCTTTGATATTCATGTTCCAGGTAATCTCGATTTTTCCTTTAACCGAGATTCACCGCAAAAGTATTCTTCAATTTGAAGCAACACCCCTATTGGTTATTATTATTCAAATATGATACATTTTCATTTTTATCAACATCCTTGCGCAATTTTACCTTTTCATTCGTACGATAACGTCGTACGTTAATGGAACAATTTCTACTATCGAAATGCTTTGGTTTATGCTTTTTTTGTTTTTTAGTTTCGCGCGCAGGAAAATGAAAGATAGCGTATTTAACAGAAACGGGATTCGACGAAGGCCACGGTTATCGTCT